GCAGGAGACTTGAAGCATCTATTAATGCAAACCTGTACCATCAGTCTTCACTCCAACCTAAAATGTCTTTTCTGGGGTTTAAGGGAGTAAGAATCAGGGAAAGGAACGAGGATGTTCAATTCATCTTACTGTAGCAGAAGCTTTGTAATACTTCCTAATCAAATATTTCCTGAGGCATGTGCTGTATGGTACGATTAATATCAACAAAGGCTCAAGACACAGGAATCAATTTCTGATTGCACAAAGAAAATAACTGTAGGACATAATACTGTATTATTCAAATTAAAGTTTAAAACTTCATATTTTCCAGCAGTAAGACAGAAGTGTGAGAAATTCAGCTTCATAACTAAGAAAGCCAAAATACCAGATATAGCCTGATTTCCTTGACAAAAGAAGCCCAGATTCTTCTGGCTGTTTTGTTTTACAAAGCCACAACTTCAGTTGTCAATCCATGATTGTCATGTAAGCAACTCAATCTGACAACAAACAGCAGTACATGAATATGGGAGAAAAACATTACCTCTATTCTACAAAGAGTGTGAAATGCTCCAGGGCAGACCTGAGTTAGTTAAGTTCATGTTACTAATTTTAAAACCCACCTGGAGCACAGAGTACATTGCAAAGAAAACAATAAATGTATGAAAACCATAAAGACATGAAAGTCATATACATCAAAGTATATGTTTAACATTATTTATACCTTGAGTAAGTGCTGTAATAGTTATTATGATACCAATGGCCAAAAGAATACTGTATTATTTTGGAAGTACTTTTTACATTTTTATCAAGTCCTTTAATATAACAGGTAAGAGATCATGAGCTATTTTCAAGAGGGGCCTGTGTAGAAAGATAAACATATACAGTTTAAAATGAACATAAAATGTGCTGAAATCTGCAAAACCTAATCAAAGTATAGTTTCTATAGAAAACATGAATGTCATAAAAATCTAACACTCCCAGGCTTCAGCTAAAACTAAATTACCCTATATTCATAATCAGATTACTTACTACATTTGTGCTCCTCTTGTGGACATCAGGGAAGGATATCCCACATTTCTGGTGCATAATGGCTCTGTGGTTTGGGTGAGTGAGATTACACTGCAAATGCATGGCTAATGCTGACTTGTGCTGAATGAGAACAGATAAAGGTAATGTTAATGTTTCTAACAAGAGTATATATTGTAGCTTGTACTCTATATTACTTTGTAGAAAAGGAATATTCATTTGTTATCATAAATAGTAATCTACCTTTTCCTGAGGTGAAGCCCTTGGAAGGTCTTCCCTTTGTGGGTGCACATCTGGGATACTCTCCAGAGAAGGTTTCCTGTGTAGTGTAAAGTCTTTATCTCAGGCTTACAACATCCATCACCAGAATGTATGGAACTCTAACAGTGACATGATTAAGTGTCCTAACCATAGACAGTTATGAATAACCACACATGCAACCTTGTCCTTACCATTTGGGAATCTGCACAGTCTTTTTGCGTAAGTCTTCAATGGCTGGAAGAACCAGCAGCTGCTTATTCACTGTTTTCAAATAATCCTCTGCATGTTTCTGTTTACAGTTAAAGGACAGAGAAATTGTCCAGTTTGTAATCCAGCTAAATTTGTCTGGAGTTTATTTAATATTATTGCTATCACTGCTTATTCCTCACCCTGATGCTATTTTCCGTCTTGCGAATGGCATTGTCCAGGGCTTGAACGTCCAGTGTTTCGTTCCTCTTGCCGACAGTGATTTTCTCAAGACTGCATTTGAGTTGTCTCAAATCATCTTGAACCTGTAGAATACATTTGTGATGTTAATACTGTAGATAACAACAGGTGTTATGTTGAGATGTGTTTCCCCTAACCTGAACCCTGACCTTATCCTAAACATAAATACAAAGGGGGCGCTACTAGAAATACAGTTTTAAAGGGGGGAACACATCCTAAAGGGGAAACACATTTCGACACAACACCGGCCTAGAAACAGTCAACAATAATGTTAATTTTTAGATATTGCATATTTATAGCTTAGATAAATATCTTTTAAAATAATCAGAAAAGTTAACAGTCTATGTAACAATATATTATTGTGTTTAATTTAAAAAGCATTGTGGACATAACTTGATATAACTGAAAAAATATCAAGCTCAAACTTACATTGATTAGAAAGCGTGACGCAGGAAAGTTAAACTCCTTAGCTAAATTAAGCTAACTAAATTAGACAACATTAACCTTACCTGAACTAGAACAGCTCCCAACCTATCTTCATTTTTAAGCGTGTCAGACATTTTTAAATAATGTGTTTAATAATATGACTTATGACATCTGTCACAATATCATAAAGCAATGCAACTTTTATGTTCACTACTGTTTCCAAACCAGTTAGCTGGTCATCAACGAAAATCATCGACCCGTAGTCGTAACCATACCAACGAGAAACCAATTAGTGTTTTGTTTAGCCCCCGAGTTTTACTGCCAGGCAGTCCTCCCTCCCATTGCATACGTAGAAAAGCATTGGTCACTCTTTTGCTACAATTGCCTGATGGTGCTACTTTCATCTTATTTCAACATTAACGTAAACATACCTTATAAGTTTATCGGTAGCGCGACTGGGCGAGGTAATGCTTTTCCTGAAAGGTCAAACTCAGGGCATCAAATGTACCTCTCATTCAAAACACTTCGGTACAGGAAGTGCGTTTGGTGCATTGATCTAACATTATGGTTTGATGTCAGTGCCGCCATAAACACATATTATTTTATATTATTTGACCAAATAACCTAATGCTAACGTACATAAATGTCCCGAAGAACGTTGTTACAGTGCTCCCTCCCATTGCATACGTAGAAAAACATTGGTCACTCTTTTGCTACAATTGCCAGATGGTACTCTGTAGCTTGTACCCGCCCGCTACCCCACGCATAACGTTGCACCGGAAGAGACTGTCGCACAGATCAGTTAGAGTTAAAAGGTTAGCAAAGTTGGGTAACGTCACGTAAAGCTTGTCCCTATAATCTAAATAATGTCATCTGTAGAAGAAAATACAGAGAGGACTGTTCCATGCGTGCTTATCACTAGCTGTGACAGTGGTTTTAAAGAAGAAGAGCTGATAAAACGTAAGTTGAGCAATTATCGTTCTGGATTTTCAAAACAGGCTAACGTTAACGTTTAATTATTGTTACATTTAGAACAACATATAACATTTGCAGGCGCCTACATGTTACTAATAACGTAAAGTTAACTCGTTTCTCTGAGGTTGTCAAAGCTAGTTAGTTACCTTTGTGGGACTGATATAAAAATGGCAATGCTAATTGCTAACCCATTTGAAAGAGGCTAAGGACATCCCGTGACTCCAGCGGCGTTCACGTTGAAAGCAAGCGGAGCCACTTAGCCTAAGGCAATGTTTTTCTTTATTTATGTGATTTATAACAAATGTGTTTTTGCCCCAGAGATCCTCAGTTCGAAGTCTTTGCCCGAGCCGACCAGGCGAGAAGAAACAGTAATCTGGTATCCATGGACAATCAACAATAAATATTATACAGCAGATGTCAGGCTATGTGTTGTTCCAGACATTTTTCAAATGACATCAGAAATCGCCCAGTCCTTGCAGGCTTTCATCGCTTATTTTGACAGTACAGTGGTACGTAACTTAAGAATTGAGTATATCTTGATATTTTCAATAGTAATGTTAGACCTATATCCTGTGATTATGTGTGACGTTTGTGCATCGTATTTGCAGAAGGATGGTCTGGAAAAGCTACATCCTTGGATATCAGTGGTGGAGGAGCTTGCTCCAGAGGTGCTCATTCTGGTGTGTGACAAAGTCTGTGAAAATGGTTAGTTCTCCGATGCTGTGTGGTGTCTGCTAGTGTACAGAAAGCAAAGCAATGCAATTTTCAGGGTATTAAGTGACATTTGAAATTTTATTTGTATCCTAGGGGTCACCAGACATGAAGCACAGCAGTGGTGTTTGGCCCATGCCTTTGAGCTGGTGGAACTCAATCCACAGGAGCTGCCAGATGAGGATGGTGAGTTTAACAATCAGAAATTATATTTACACTGCATATGTTTGTATTTTCATTTTTGAGGTTTTCCTCATTGCTGTACTCTCATTCACACTGTTTCCGATGCTTTTGTCAGATGACTTTCCAGAATCAACAGGTGTAAAGAGAATTGTCCAGGCTCTCGATGCCAATGTGTGGTCCAGTGTTGAGATGAAGGATGGTGGGAAAACATTACCTTTGCTTTTACATTTTTATAGCACAAATATCATTTAAATATATTATTTTAATCACTACTCAAAATGACATTTCCAGGTTAACTAGAATTAGTTCAGTTGCTAAGTCCCCATTCAGTCATGACTATTTAACTCCTCTCTATATATTTCATGTGAATGTTTATATCTTTTGGTGACAGGGCACAATCAGGGCTTAGGTCTGATGAGCAGCTTGGTGGCCTCCAGACACAACAACCCACGAAACAGCCAAAATCAACCAGTCAGTGGCATTTCTTCTTTTTGCAACTATTTTTGTTTACTTTGATTATATTTTTTTACATTTGTAATTTTCTCACCATGTATTCCTACTGTCTGTCTTATGTATAATCAATTCATTTAGATTTAAATTGAATTTTAAGTCTGTCAGTTTTTGAGGGGGCATGCTAAACGTAGCGCTATGTCTGTGGCAGTCTTCCAGCTTGCCAGTAGAGGGCACACTTGTTCATGAGGAGACAAACCATACAGAAAGTAGCACAAACCGAGACTCACAGGAGGACACAGTAGTTGGTAAGTGAACACATTAATCTACGTTCACACCAAACATGGATATCTTGAAGACTGGAGATGATATAGCAATGCATCTTAAGATTTGCTTTGATTTTCACAGATGCAATGACTGATTTGGACATTCAAGAACTCGCTAATCTGACAGCCGGTGATGCAGATGTGGATAACTTTGAACGCCTTTTCACCAAATTAAAAGAAATGAAAGGTAATTGCCAAATGAAAAAGAAATGCACACCACCATCAGCAAAAGCACATACGAAAATAGCCACAACCTTTCCTTTTTAAAACTTACAGGGTTTGTGGTATGTTTGCATTGTATATGTGAAGGTCAAATACTTTTACAACTGATTTATGTTGTTTGGTTTTCTCTGACCTTAAACCTGCAGATAAAGCTTCTTCATTACCTCATGAGCAGAGGAAGGCTCACGCAGAGAAGGTAAGCAATTATATGGCAAGTTTGGACCTGTTCTTTGAGATATTGGATGCATGTTTGAGTATATTGATTTTACCAAAATGCGCATCAGTGGAGTAGAATCCTACCATTGACTTATTTTGAAGTATGTATATCACAAACTGATAATCTAGTAGTTACATAACCTCACAACCAAACTGAACTACCCCGTTCATGGCAAGCTAATAATGTGTCAGTTAAAAATGTTACCTTATCACACTATTAGAGTGATGGCATAAGTATCTTGGGTACATTTCAGTGACTGGCTCAGTAAATTGTGTAACAAAACAAAATCTGATCATTTATATCACACCAAATCTGGTTTCTAGGTTGCAAAAGCATTTTGGATGGCCATTGGTGGTGATGAAGATGAGATTGACGGGTTATCATCGGGAGAGGAAAGCTAAAGGTTGCTAGCTGTGACTCTGTCTCCTTTCTCCTGATCTTCCTCCTTTCCTTGGGCTGTTTGATCCGTGGCTCTCTGATCCAGCACCCTTCGACCTGGTTCTTGCACTTGGAAAGCGGGATGCTTACAGATGATGCTGTAGACATAGTTATGTTTACAAAGGTCTGATTCTTGAAAATATTGAAATACTGGTGTATAGTAAGAAACAGCTGGAAATCTTTATTATGGAGAGAAGAAAGCCAGTGAGTGGCCCTGATCTTCAGTCTTCTCCCCTGGGTCCCTCACTATGCTTAATCCCTGTGTGAAACTCACGTCAAGGAGTTGCAGGCGGAAAAACTGAAAGTTATATTATGTGGGGTTTAATTTATGTATTAGTCCTTAAGGTACAGTTGTCCAGATATTTTCAAGTGACAAAATGTGCCTTAATTGTAGAAGAGATGTAAGAGATTTAATGCACATTCTTGAATCAACATAAAGGTTTGTGATTTTAATTTTTTCTGCTCTTTAGTGTGAATGTGGCTTATGTGTGAGAGCAAGACTGCTGCACTACAATACTTTATAGTCCCATACAGCTCAGCTTAATTCACTGCATTCATGGGTTTCCATTTTTTGAGCCAATGTACTGTATGTCAACAAGCCACAGCTTAAAATTCTTTTTACTCGGATGCAATTTATTACATTTTCACAGATAAACAGTGGTCATTTGAGATCAAATATTAGGCTACATGAGGGTGGGGCAAGTACATAAGACTTGTAACACAAGATCACAAATTAAGAATATCAAGAAAGTACTGATACAGAAAGTACTGATACTGAACGACCTAATGCACTGTAGTACATAGTATTTCACTTTTGCACCATGTAGCTATTTTAAATAGATTACATAGTGACTAATCTTATGTACTATAAGTGCAGGATTAACACGGTGGCTTTAAAGACAAGGGCAGCGAGCATTACACATGCTTTATATTGTAGCAATGTACATTTAATATACATTTATTGGACAAACAAATTGCCACCAGAACTGAAGCATTACTCTGATCAAGTGCATCATTTACCCACAAGGAGCATAATGTACTATTGGCTAACACGTGAAAAGCACAGCCATGTTCTCTGCTACTGAGTTCCCTTCACACTTAAGATATCAGTCCACTATGATCATGGATACTGCATGTCATGTGTCCCTGTGCTTGCAGTTAACAGTAACTGCTAGTACAGTAATCTTAGGTGTGTTAAACTTAAGAGCCAGTTGACCTGCAATAGAGAAACTTGTATTTAAGGAGTACAAGTTATGGATTATGAAACTACACGTGCCTGAGGTCAGTCAGGTCCACTGTTTCAGGCAATGCATGACTACAGGAAATCACAAGCTATAAATATGTATGTACAATCATAGAGGCAATAACAAAAATATATTCCCATGCAGGACAGTATGCAAAAATAACTTATAAAATGTCTTTCACTGAGCAAAATAGTTTTGATACAAGGGATCTTTTTAAGAAACCGTGGTGTTAATGAACTGAAAAAACTTAGAAAAAAATCAACTGGACTAGATTTCTAGGTAGAAATCTAGTCCAGTTTATTTTTTTCTAAGTTTTTTCAGTTTACTATGACCTGGATGACTGAGAATCTGCACAGACGTGGTGTTAATGTCTATATTCTTTTTAAATAGATAAAATACCAATCAGGTAATGGATGCTTTCATTGTTACAGATAAATCAATATGGGTAAAGTACCTTGTACTTAAAATATTACTTAAATATATTCTATTTAATCACTACTCAATGACATTTTCCAGGTTAATTCATGGTTCAGTTGATAAGCTTCCCAATTCAGCGATTGCAATGAGTGGCACCAGGACACTGAAACACCAGTGATGGTAGCATACTCATAATCTTGACTAATTCACAGAATCAAAATGGTTTGAACTATTTAGATAATCAAGCTGAAACTGTACCAACTTGGAAAACAGATATTTCAGTCTCCTTTACAAAAAAGAAGTTACAACAGTAAGCCTGATGTTTGAATGAGTAACAAAGAATGTTTTTTTCTTTTGAAATGTACTGCAAATACCCTATTGCTGCACATGGAACAAATGAAAACCAAACAATGGTTAAGTGCTAATACAACCTTAAAATGGAGACTAAATGCTACTAAGGAAAGTCCTCTGTATATGAGGTGAAATGTTGGAGACTGAATTAATGATTTGATGAATGGCAGCTCTTTCATTATCACTAAAAGACATTTGAGTTTTCCTGTATGGTTTGTATTTAGCTGTGTAGATGGGGGAAAGGGCTGTTGGGAAGCATGTATTGCTCCTAGGACATACTAGAGCAGTTGATGCTGGGAGAGCCCATTTGGGTGAGGACCTTGTCCAGCCACTGCAAAGGGCCATTGAGATGTAGCTCAATCCAGCAGGGGGTGCTGGTCACTGTCTGACGCCTATGAGGTACAGAGAAGAAGAGATGCAACATAGTTTGTCATTACTTATAGCTTTTCATATTATAGTACCATATAATTAAAATAACTGTCAGACATGTTAACAAAACTTCACAGTCAATGCACAAATAGTCAAAAGCAAAGAACTCGATTGACTAATTCTTTAATAAGTTTCTACCAGAGATGGTTTTTTTCCCCCCCAAATTGTTTGGTGCCAGAAATATAACCCGCACCACCACCACATCCAGTGGGAATCCCCCCTGCAAAGGGGGTCTAAAATGTGTTCACCTCCCACTCCAAGTCCCCCTCACCATTGCATGCCTTCTGCATTCTTCCTCTGTTATTCAACCCTCTTTCACTGTCTCCAAGTTGCACCTCCCCCATCACACACTTTTTCCTTTACAAGTCCACTACTGTGTGCAACACTGCTTCATCCCCAGATTGAACTCAGGTCTCACAATAATCACCAATGCGTTCTTACCTTTTCTTCTGAAGTTTATGGCAAGCAGCTTAAAGATGCATTAACTAAGATTTTTACACACTTGTCTAATAAGCGAAATTGGGACAGGACATGGCGTTTCTGCTGTTACTGTATTCTAGCTTTTTTTGTGACAGTAGGCACCTGTAGTCTTTGGTTGGGTGAGTTAGGTGTTGCCTTCTTTAGGCGTATGTTCTAAATCTAGCATCTACCAGTCAAATTCTACGTCGGAATTTTTTATCAATTCTCAAGCACTAAAAGTAATTTGAAATAAAAATAAATACAAGTAATAATAAAAAAAATTAATACAAATAATAAATACATAAATAAAAATCACTAAGCCTCAAGCAGTAAAGATAAGGAATACTTATAACTGTATTGAGAAAATTACTACTTTTTATTATACTGAAAATTGGCTCACTGGAAAGTGTCCTAGATTTTAATTGGCCAAAAACATATACATTTGACATGGCAACTAATGCTAGCACTTGTTCATTTGAACGCAAACTGGCTGCCCTTTCCAATACCTTAAACAGTGCCCTTTGTCATTTTAAGGTTCTAACAATTATATACTGCAAAAATTACATATTTAGTCAATGAAATGTCAGTGTCAGAAACAAGCATAATGCATTCCTATAATTGGAAATACCAGTAAAAAAATAAAAAAATATCTACCTGTACTCAGCCCCCCAGCCCTTGACAAAACTCATGCGAATGGTACACATCCTGGTGAGCTGGTAGACAGCCTCAAAGCCCTGGTTGACTGACTGGGCAAGCAGGGTAGCAAACTCCTGGTTGTTGAAGATCTTTAGGTTGCAGCCTGCCAAAAAAAAATATTATTAGGCTTACTCAGTGTCAGTAAGTCACTAGCTGTTGTCTTTGATTGCTTCAAATGTTTGCATGTATCCTCTCATGGTAACCTGGAGGGATTTTGCAGACAGTGGCAGGATGCCAACCGTAGCGTTGGTTGCAGTTGGGACTCTGGACAAAGATGGCACTGTCACTGAGACACTCTGCAAACACTTCTCCCCCAATGTAATACAACCTCACGCCTCGTCCTGAAAAGGGAAAAGATTGTAGCTAATGCAGAGCACCCTGCTTATTATGTTGAGCAAATATAAAAGGCAAATTATATCAGAGTGGATGTGATCCCTGTGAAACAAAATTAGTACCTATATGTCTCCGTGTGAGCTCTACTGCTGAATTGCGATTTACATTTGACAGCAAGCCCAGACAGAAGCGCTCAGAGTTAGAGGGGTCTGTGAATCCGTCGACTGTGAGGGATGGCTGGGAAGCATGGAAGGTCTCTCCTACACGTTGATTCAGTTCATAGTAGGAGATAGAGCACCAGAAGGCAGACTCGCAGTATGTCACAGGTTGTAAGTCTGTGTGAGAAGAAAGTGTGAGGTGAACAAACATGTACAAAGGCAAAAGCTCCAATTAAGTCCTTGTAAAAAGAATTAACAAGTTCATGAGAAGAGGGGTTGTGAAGATGCACACTGTTGATAATGTTCCTTTTGATTTCACTTTAGTAGCTCTTTCCCATGACCCTCATAGCCCCAGCCAGGAATGGCCAAGACATACATATTTATTTTTAACAATGAGCTCCTGGTGGCTTTAGATATAATAACCTGACAAGCAGATACTATTATTATTGCATTACCTTGAGCTGTCTGTACCAGGCCTCTCCACAGACAAGAACAGAACAAAGACTCCATTCAGCCCATACTTTGTTACCACCCTGAGGCTACACCTCCCAGACAAAGTCCACTGCTCATCTATCTCTCACATACATGCTCACCCCTACAAAGATATTTTAATCTGACAGTCTTTGGACTTCATACCCCAGATAGAAAACAGATGGAGTAGTGCTATTTGATGAAGTATCGGAGTATGCCTAAAACGTGCACATGATTAGGTTGTGGCTTTTTCAAGGGTAAACACTTTTCCTGTGGTGTCAACTGTAATTGTCCTCCACCCATATCTGTCATGACCAGTCATCAAATGCCTCCTAAAGCACTGAGAAAATAGATGCTCTCTGTTCAAGTGTTAAACCGACTCCAAAACATACCGAGTGTTCACTGAACTCCTCCTACTTCATGTTGCAACAGTGAACACGGTTGTGTGTGGGGGCTCACGACTAGTTAGCATGTGCCAAAGTTTGGCCATTCTGTGCCCTACTTGCGCCATATAGGCCTATAGCCGTTTGTCTCCACAGCCCCCCCTGGAGATTACGCAATAGTTTGTCAGTCTAAATGATCTATTTTTTCCCCTCTCTTGGAGAAAAGTGGTGGAGTGTTGTTCCAGTGCATCGAGGCAGCACAGGCTGGACAATTAATCTCTATACTTGTAGTTTGACTGTGTTCATGATTTGAGAGCAAATAATAAAATTACTCTTTATGTATTTGATCAAAAACACAGTTTGTGAAACTTTTGAAACTTCTAGTACAGCTGTCTAACAATAAATTGAATTTTTTTTTTTTTTTTTGCTATAGCATGCATATCTTTTCTATAAATCACCTCTTCTGTGGTCAAATAAATAAACATGAAACTATAAGGAAGAATGACATTTTATATATTTTTCCATTTCATGATGCTACCCCCTAGTTTTGTATTAATTTGGCAGAATACTGGTCCACAAGGTGTCCATGTAGACTTGCACCATATTTCTTTACAACCAGTCAGATATTAAATAAAACAGTAATGTCAGCATTCTGCCATAGACAGAAAAGCCAGTTACACTGAGCCAAATAGCAGACTGCTACACAAGAGCCACAGACTTTGCACAGCCCACATCAGCTTTCCTAAAGTCTCATTCTTTTGTAGCTTACAAACCAAAAACACGTCTTGTCCGGCACCTCAGCTTGTTAAGTGAGTCGTCAAACAAATATTCACCAGGGAAAAGTAGTGCACTGCTAATGTCAGTTTGCTGGCTAGATAAGTAATTAGCTGCTCAGCTGCAGCACATTAAACAGCATCTAAATGTATTAGCAAATGTCACTTCGGTCTGGTTACAAACTGGTTTGGTCTTTACTCTTCAAAATAAGTGCTAACAACACACTGTCTGACCGTGTCATGTAGCTACATCTCAAGTTTGTTTACTTTGTCTCTTGTTCTCTATGGTGAACCCCAGCATTCTGGCAGCCTGCCAGCCACTGTTGCTCAAACACTGATACACCCGTTTGAAAGGAAAAAGGCCAAGGACCTTTGTCTTCCTTTTAAAAATACAAAACTACAAACAATACATTTTGAAATACACATTGTCTTATTTTACACTGCAAAAAAGGGATGCATAGTAAGTGCACATAATGAATGCTATATTCTGAATAAAGCTAACCCCTTTGGTTTTGCTTACCAAGATTACTGTTTGTGGGTGACACAGGATTGGGCGATAGGCTAGGTGAACCTGAAATAGAGTGGTAATAGAGGACAGGGTCATGAGCTCAATAAGGCATAATTAGAACAGTATGAGCTTGAATTGTGTATATATTCATGTGCCTCACCTGTCTCCATGCTGTGGTTGAGTTGGTGATCATTTGTCTCACCATCCTCACTCAGATACCCTGGTGGGGGAGTTTCTGTAAAATGCGAACACGTGCAAAGCGATGACACAGCCACCCTTCAGGTCTGATATTTTTTATGACTGCTGAAACAAGTCTTTCAACTTTCTTTATTGTCCCCAAAAGAGTGGAAATTTAGTTTGCAGCCAGGTGAATACAGACAACTATAAAATTAAACATTATCAATTGCACAGCATAAAAAAAAACCTAGACAAACAGCTGAGGCATTTACAAAATTCATTTGTTAGTCAAATTTGTAGCAAGAATTTAACAGTCCCACTGCCACGGAGGCAAAAAAAAAAAAAAGATTTAATTCCTTTAGTTCCTGTGGCAGGAACCTTTAAACAAAAACCAGATGGGAGTAAGTCAAACTCTTTCAAATTAACACAACTTAACATGACTTAACGTTTGACAAACACAAAAGACAAAAAGTCTTTTGTGGGAATGGTTTACAACTTTGTGGTTGTATATTTTAGGCCAATATTTACAATTTGAATTAAAAATTAAATTGGAACTATTTACTCTTCCTACAATAAGGATAAAACCGTTTTTTACAGTCCTCCCCAAATTAAAAGCATACTAAACAGTCAATGATAAAAAAAAATAAATAAATAAAAAAGTTTTTGAACTTTTGAGTCCTGCCTTCAGAATGAATGGCACTGTTTTTTCTCACCGGGAATATAGTTACTCTGGGGCTCAATACCAGCAGGGAAGTTAGTGTTCTCAGGAATGGATGGACTGCAGTCATCCAGCGATGAGAACTCTGCGGGGATATCCATATGTCGTGGTACTAAGACAGGAGGCAAAACTAGAGACATGCAGATACAGTCATTAAAGACAAGTTCAGTTGGCAAAAGCGTTATTTTAAACATGGTAATTGAGGTCATGAAGCAAATAACGCTCACTTGGCGTCTCCACCCTCTGGTAGTGGTAGGGGTTGATGCACACTTCATCCTTCTTGGTGTGGAAGGCAAATTCACAGTGGTCAACAGCTCTCAGTTCATGATGGGACTGCAGGTCTGGCCAGCGCCACAAGCGGCAGTAGATCACATGAGGAAGACCTTTTCTGTGGGAGACCTGGAGACGCCCATCTAAAGACCTGTCACGGTACATGGAGATTAAATGTAATCACTCAGCATTGCTTTGGTCTGTGCTCTGACTATTAAAATAAGTGTTTTTGAACTGTAAGACAAAACATTTAAGGATAAGTCAGGGAAAGGTGGGTGGAGAACACTGAAGCTTGTTTCACTCCACTACATTGTGTCTGAGCTTGTGTCAAATGAAGAAAAACCCATGACTGATGTCATCTGCAGCTTCAAATGCCACTGGAACTTCTGAATATGCTTCAATGAGTTGAATGTTCTTACACTAATGTGTAAGAACATTAGTGGGATAAGAAGACAATCACTGGCGATGTACATTAGAAAGACATTACCATAAGAACAGTTCCATCTGGTACCAAGAAATGTTATAATGTTTAAGGGCTGCTGTAAGTTTTACAAGCCACCAGATGTCACTGCACTTGCTTTGTTTTAAATCTGTTATTGGCACAAATAGAAAGAAAGCTCCAGAGCTTCATAAGGCTTCATCCACTCAGCATATACTGTATGTATGTATATATATATATATATATGACAATGATGATGAAAAAAATGATTTGTTAAAAAGAAAAGTTAAAAGTTTACTATTAAATCTTGCATGTTCACCTTTTCAGCAAACAAGTTAAAAACATCAAGGTCACTTGTGTTGCACATCTCTACACCTAATGAAGAAAACTGTCTTCAGTTAACACAATGTGGACATTTCAGTGCCTCCTGTAATTATTTCCAGTTGGTTGAGTCAACTCTACATGTAAGCACCTCAGGCCTCCACTTGGCTGCTTTAAATGCTGAAACCCCTTTCTCTTGAAGCCACATCAGAGGAGGTGATGAAAAGTTCAGCACAGAGCAGGCCCGCTGTGGTATAGAATCACTGTATCACCAACAGATAGCAAGACAGCTGTAAATCTGCAATCTCAGACTCACGACTTAATCACAATCCACACACAGTGGCTCACACTCTCCCTAGAGCCCGAAGCACATTTACAAGGAGTGAGAAAATCTTTTTTATGTAGATTATCACGCATGCGCTAATGTCTATACACACCATGATGGGGACTCCCAGTCTCAATTAGCAATTAGCCCAAAAGCTGTCTTAAGTGCATAAAATAAAAATCACCCTAACACAGGCCACCTTAAATATTGCTTGTGGGGAAAAGGGATGATTAACAATTAAAGAACTCACTGACAAGTGTTTTCTAGCACCTCCTACACTGCCTATTAAATATACTGGTGTCAAATAGATGGGTATCCCATATAGGGAATCCCAAACAGCACTTATTTCAACTCTCCCACAGTTCACACACCAGTTTAAACATCTTGAGTCAGAGTCCTGCCTTGCCATACTACCCCTTCTCCTGTTCAGCACACATGTGAGCTGTGGGCACACTTGTTTATGTAGCACTACGTGAACCACAGCTACCATGTCAGCAGGTGAAACCTGCTTAGACATTTCAGAAACAGTAACTGTCCGTAGCAGTCCTTCAGAATTATGACATTTCACTTGCACGTAGGTCTACCGGTCATGCTAGCAGTGCAACATAACACGGGAATATAGCATAACATAACGTTATCTAATGTATGGCGTTGTACGTTTTCTTACATTAGTGTTGACGGATATTCATGACACCACCTAAACCACCGATACACGTGTCTGTATCTGTTATCAGTACTTCGGAGTGATAAGACGCCAAATGATTGATACCTGTTAACCCACCATATAAAAATTTTAGCAGAGAGTTGGGTTAAGTTTGCTTTGACCAGCTAATATTAGCCCTGCTATGAAGGAATGCTTTTACTGTGGCAGCTAAAGCTAACTGTCAATGCGATCACAACCCACAGCGCGACATTACACTTTTCATCTTCTAGTCAATTAATGCTATACTTAATCAGTTTAAATGAACATTGACATATTATCGACGAAAACGGCTTCAATAACAAAGCAATAGGCTGCTAGCTAAGCTAACTAGCAAGCTACTCGGCTAACTTTAGGTTTCATCAGCACTAGCTTTGCTAGCTAGTTAGTTAGCTCTGTGTGTGTCGTTACCTGGGTATGGTTATGCATTTTGTGTTGACATTCTGTGTTGTGATGGCCTTTTCCAACTCTTCCAACTGTCCCGTCTTTTTCAACTTCTTCACAAGACTTTTCACAGCCTTTTCGCACCATTTCTCCTCTTGCCCGTTCTGCTCTCCCTTCTTCCAGCCAAGGAGCCTCTTCACGATTGGAGGAGTGAACGGTAATATAGACATTTTAAAATGCAACTAAAACTACTAGTTACAGTACTCCGAAATAATTCTAAGTCCAAAATTGCAAAAGCACAGTCTGATGCTCCTTTAATACTTGTTATTTTAATAAACGCTAGTTAGCCTAGCTAACTAAACTCCCCATGAAACGGATGGATGGTCGCTGCCGGCGGGGAATCAACACCGGATTACGCCGCAGGTTCACTCCGTTCAACACGCCAGTGTGTCGGAATAGCAGCTCCTTCAGCAGCCCGGCTGTGCCTGCACCTCCTCCTGCTCTTGGTCAGCTGGCCCGTCCTCCTTAATGATGGGTGGACTCGAAACACCGTATCGAACCACTTCCGTTTCGAATCACAGCTTTGGGGCGTGTATCCCGTCAAACAAATATTCACCATCTAGGTGGTCGACATACTGTAAGTAAGTAAGTCAGCTTTATTCGCCCAGTATGTCGTGCATACAAGCAATCTGCCTTCGGCACGGAGGCTCTCTGTGTGTTTTGGCAACAGGCAATGTACAACAGACAACAGAGTAGAGCAATGGGGCAGGGTGAAGGAGGAGTGAGTAGAGGCTATGTTCACAAAGCTCTGTTTTTCAACATATTACTATACCACCAGTAAATTATACATTGTTACATAGGAACAATGAACACAAAAACCAATTTGCAATTCATTATCTTTGCTTATATTATTAAATTCAGGGTAAAACAACAACAACTAAACCAGAACCCAATGATAAAAGAATTTCCTCAGATAAACAGCTCCTTATATGCTTCTTTTGCCTTTTCAGTGTCTGTGGTTTATTTAACCCCGGTTTATGCTTAAGAGGCAATAAATTAAAATATGGTAATCAGAGATAGATTAACACTGAAAAGTGATCCAACATTTACATTTACTGTGTCCATGAATAGACCTGCCTTAGCCATAATCCCTGTGACCCCCTCTATAAAAGTGATCTAATTTCAACTTGAATGCATCTTTCTAGAAATGGAGGAAGGTGACTGTGCCTTCAGTTGTATTTGGGGTTGTATGGTGTTATTGATAGATGCACCCCTGGCTGCTGCCTCCAGTAAACAGCAGTGTGACTGTGCTATAAATATCCCCATGCAAGACCAGCCCCTTTCCGGATCTCTATTTGGAAGCTCCATCAATGACTATTGTCTATTTTAAGGCCATTTGGCATGGCTTCTTACTTCCTCCTTCTTAAATAAATATTATTGCTATCTTGGCAGTGGTACCCAAAAATAATATTAAAGGACACTTCATGACTCCCTGTAGAACAGTCACTTGGTAACGGTCTATCTTAAAGTATACAGTATTCATATTTATACTCACTGATAAACTCTGAGGGGCTCATACTGTATAACCTGCCATTATTTTCAATATGGGTTAATCTGCAAATTAGGTCTCCATTAATCAATTAATCAACTTAAAATTTGGTCAGAAAATACTTAAATTTGCTATCCCAATTTCCTGAAGCTCGGGGTAATTTTTCCTTGAACTACATAGTGTGGATCAGCAGTTTGTGTGAACTTGTATGCATGTGAATCATTCTGTTCAAATAAAATGAAAAGCTGTAAAGGCCTTACTTTGTTTAAAATGTCAGTGCCATTTAATAATGAAACAGGCTGTAGAGCAGTGAATACTTCTTCCATATGTACTCTGATGGTTCACACATGGTTTGCGCCTTTTACTGCCAGGGGACACAAGCTGGACAGCTGGTGTGAGAAGCTTTTATGTGTGTGAAAGAGAGAGAAACCGGGGGATTGTGCAGTATGAATTGGACAGGGGCAGATGGGCTGCAGCAGACAAGAGAGAGTCTTAGGGACAGAGTGAAGGATGGTTCTGGACAAAAGGCATGATGGGTGGCTGATTAAGTAATGACTAGACAATCTGATGGACAATGGCGTTGTGATAAGCCACTTGTGAGCTATGGGAAACAAGCAGGGTGTATTGAAAGGACCCAATCAGTCAGACTGCTGTCACAGCAAGGATGGAGTAGCAAGTAGAGTAAATAGTTTTTGTGTGTCCATATGAGCAACAGTACTGGCATTTGAAATGTGGTGAGACCACTGAATTCTTGTACAACTTTACAATCCTTCTCATTTTTAAGGCAACTATTTCTTCATCAGTAATCACAGTTACGCTAAACATATTTTCCAGTCTATTGTATGATTAAAGGAAAATCAGAGGAGCTCACATTTACCCTCTACAAACCTGTAATTGCCTCAGCAGCTAATTGCAGTATGGTACAGTCAGACATGGTTGTTCAGCACAACCCCAGATGGGTGGGGTCCGTCTCTCCCTACAGTTCCTGCCGCCTTTTAAAATCTCTGTTCACACTGCAAGTTGTTATCTGTTGCTTCCAGCCATCAATCTCTCCCCAGACTGTGGCAGCTCCAAATCTGGGGCAGTAGTGATCCATCTCCTCCCTCCCTCTGATCTGGTCTGAACCATATCCTTTTCCCCTGGTTTCAGACTCATGGAGGTGATACACTATCACATTTTAACTCACACATCTTACAGCATTCTCTTGTGTTTGTCTCATTGATGTGTGCATGAGTGATTATTTATTGCCCTGACATGCAGATGTCCCTTTACAGTACCACTGTCAAATTAAGCACCCTTTATAAATGGTTTATAAGTTGCAAATATGGATCTCTAGCAAATCATTCACTGGTGTTTTATGTATCATCCATGAGCATTTAATAAGACATTTTATTGTGTTTGTCCCTTTCTAGCATAACACTTGTGTTATCTGTTATGGATGTCAGACCTCAGCTTGTAAGGTCTGCAGAGCATCTGAACCACAAACCTTTTATTTATAACAAAACAGTAACATTTTATTCTTCATACTTGATGATTATTAGAAAGTGACTAACTCATCCACATTTATGCATGGATTAGACAAATGTCTAATTGTATTATTACCAGATAGAACAAAATGGCAACCAAAAACTCACTGTTAGAACTGGCTTGTAAAGGATCTTTTGGTACAACATTTACTAACTGTTAAATATGCAATTAGCTGTGACTAATAAAGACTTTATAAAGGATGTTATTTAAAAGTGGTACACTCTATTATCTAGAATATTATCTTGCTGTTTTCCAAATGTGCAAGAAAAATTGTATATGTTTGATCCATCGCCTCAGTTCATTACATTAATAAGTTAGTATCCTACAGCAGCTGAAATATAAACACCAACAACAATATAAATAACGTGTCGCCACCTAGTGTCCTTCTTCCGTTACTACAACAGCACACGTTCATATGCCACTGGGCTCAGCACACATTTGTGTGAATGAAGGGCCAACATTTTCTCTTGTATTAACATGAATTTGTTTCCATTGGTCCAATTTAAAAGAATAGAGCCATTATTAATGTTATTAACACTGTGCTTTTCATACAATGTCAGATCAAAATGTCTGCTGTGAAAAATGCTGATTATACAAACACACACATAGTGAAGATATTGTATATATTTTTTATACATACTTTGTTTATTTATTTATGGTTAGGACTCACTGTGGTTATAATTTATTTGTGAATGAGTGCCAGTGATTTATGTGCTATTCCATAAACACAATTTACATTTTTATTGTGAACAATGGCCCATAACAGCATTAAGTTGATTCAGAGGCTTTGTAAAACATCTCCTAATCTTATGTATAGATGGAATGCAGAACTTGGACATGATTCATTAACTTCACCTCCAGGCTAAAATGGCTTTCTATTTGGCCTGCACCTAAAGCTTATGGCTATGTATTTTCAAAGGACCTCTCCTTCTGTGGCACTTAAAAAAGACTTTGTGGGTGGATATAAATATCATCAGTGGACACTAAGTAATTATAATGAATTATTGTTTAGTTTCTCCTTTTTGTGTTTGGAAAAGCAAAGTTTGGAAATAAAATATTTCCTTTATTTGACAACACTGCAGATTGTCTTCACTGAGCTTCACATAGATCAAGACTTTAGAACGTTTTCCGCAAAGCTTGTGGAACTTGTGATTTTCTGAAATTTGGTAAATATACCCAGTCACTCACATCACCACCAAAGCTAATGATTGTGAAATTAGTTTCAGAGCAATCAGTAGCTCCCCTGCTAAGACCGACTGTATCCATATGCATGAAATTGCTTGTGTTAATACATGCTATGAATCGTGGGTAATGCAGTGAATAATTCTGACTGCACGCAATGATGGTAGCTTCTATTAGACTGGGGACTGTTGTGAAGCTGGAGCCCTGTGGCAACATGCCTGTAAATGGCCATGTATGGATAATTAAGCATTACTCTTGAACATTAAAACTTGCTTATTTCAGAGAGCTGCAGGCAGTGGAGAGCTCTTATTGAACTCATCACGATTTCCGGTGTTTCCCTATAATGTGTCCTCATTAGTATGTGAGCTGTTGAAAACTTTTTCATCCTTCTTACTGTATCCTGAAAATGGTCTTTCATTAGTATGACTACATTAACAATCTCTGTCTCATATCATTGATTTTCAGTAGTGCATGAAAAAAAGTTTAAATGAATTCAACTTATTTTTTTATTGTGGTTTCTTCTGTGTTTTTCTGATCTTAATCTAGAAAGTGCTGTTTTGTGTGTTTTTTTTTAATTACAAAAATATTACACTTTAATATACTACTGTATTAATAGCAGTGCTGCAGAGATGCATTTTACACCTTTATTTCTGTTGTGTTGATTGAGATGTTGTAACTATCTGATGCAGACCAACCTTTAGTCATTTCTGAGCTGAATGACCTGCATTAGCTCTGGGAGGTCATGTTTCAGGGAAGCAAACAAACAAATTCTACAGGGCTGTGCGATGACAAGATAGATGGCTCTTGTCCTTCAGCTTTTGTGTTTAGGTAAACCTTGTTTGCACTGCTTGTCTCCTTAGCTGTCCCTTTTAGTTTGTTATATTTTATGTTTAAATTACACTATTGAAGGAGCCTGAAACATTTAGTTTTTATGTTATCTTTTGGACCCTGAAGCATTCATAATGTCTAAAGGCTTTGTCCTTTTCTAGCTACAACCTATCACTCATAACTACAGTCTGATTGTATGTGCAACAAGAATGGAGTTTAATGTGGCTTCAGGGACGAGAGCAAACAGGCTTGTTGTAGTCCTCACAACTGTCTCCATTAATCTATTATGCACTGGCACAGAGCGTCTGGTCAGTCCATAGGTTTGCAGTGCTATACTAGCAGTTTAGTCACAGAGTGAGACATTAAATAGATTGAAATTATTTGTTTTAATGCTGGTAACCTCAGAAAAGTTAGATGTTGTTGTATTAAGTTAGATACAATCTAACTGTTGGTAATGGGACCCCATATTCCATGAAAGGGTTCAAGCACAAGGGTCAAGCACAGT